AAATCCTGCCCAAGTATATCCAACAAGTTCAGGTAATATTCAGTACTGTTGTTTGGCCGGGGTCAAGAAAGAACCATATTCTCAGGTCATGTGGGAGTGGGCAACCTGGGATCAAAAAACCACAGATTCTGCCCAACTAGTGTGGCTCAGTGGTTGAACCAAAAGGTCACTGGTTCAATTCCCGGTCAAGGCATATGCCTGGGTTGTGGGATAGATCCCCAATAGGCCTGTGGAGGAGGCAAACAATTGATATTTCTCTTTATCAATGTTTCTCTCTAAATCCTCTCCCTTCCCCTCTCCAAAATGAAGAAAAACATTTTTTAAAAAGCCCCATAGATTCTCCATCCCAACTCAGGTTTCTTCCTCTGCCTTAAATCAGGAGAATCAGCTCCAGTTAGTTGCTTCCTTGGTAGCTCTTGTCTCTACCTCCTGTCTCATGCCTGCAGGTGTCCTGCTTCAATGAGTTAGAGATCTGTATCCATCCCGATGGAGTCATCCCAGTGCTGACTTTCCTCAGGGACCACACCAATGCACAATTCAGATCCTTGGCTGACTTGACAGCAGTGGACATCCCAACCCGGCAGAACCGTTTTGAGGTTAGTCAGAAGGTTTGAGAGGTTTTGGGGGTAAAGGAAGAAAAGGAACAGAACACTTTTAGGGTAACAGTTGCCAGTAGGAACCATAACCTTCTTAGGTTTAGTTGAGTCAAACAGTTTAACAAAACAGTTAAACTAGGGTCTCAGATTCAGGTAGGCCTTGAGTTTAAATCCTGGCTCTGCCACCTATACACTGTGTGAATATTTTGTTTAATCTTTCTGAGTTTTAATTTTCTTTTGGGCAGAATAAGTATAAAATTGTCCCTAATTCAGAGGGTGGTTGTGAGGATTAAATGAGATAGTACTGGTAGACTGCTCGCACACAAGTTTTTAATATACTTAACTATTGATATTTACTGATAATATACTATTTGCCAGATCCTGGAATAGAGAGAAAAATAACACCCAATAACTGCCTTACAGGAGTCCCTCAAACTCTAGTCAGGGAGGATACATAAACAGCTTATTGTAATAACACATAATATATGTTATGTTAAAGATGTGCTGTAAGAATGCAGGAGGACCACTTAGCCCTGTCCGGGAGGCGTCTTTGAAGGGAGAGAGAATGTTTGTGCTGAGCATTAGTGGGTGACTAGAAGACTAGGGATTAGTCATTGAGGTTTGGGATGGGGGGAGATGTGGTTTGGAGACATCCTAGACAAAGGGAATAGCACGAACGAAGACAAGTCTATGTGTCAAACACAAGGCCCGCGGGCCAAATCCGTCCCGCCAGGCCTTGCAATGTGGCCCGCACCGCGCTGTCATCACTGCACTCCGCTGCGTTTCCATCACAATGACAGTTTATGACTGTTCAGTAAACCATTCGGCCTGCGATTTAGGCTGGATTTTAGATTTTGGCCCCTTCTCTGATTGAGTTCGACACCCCTATCCTAGACAAAGGGAATAGCACGAACGAAGACAAGTTTGCTGACTGCTGAGGAGCTACATGTCAGTGTGGCTTAGGCCTTTGGAAGCAGCTGTAAGTATAGGAGGATCTTGAGGTTTTGAGCTTCAGGATAGAAGGCTGATTTACCTAATTCACCTTGTGTCCTCATCATTGATACTCCCCTCAGGGACTTCAGCCTTAGACCCTTCAGCTTGTGCCCATCTTGGTCCTCCATTTCCTCTGTTCTCCCTAGATTGTTTACAACCTGCTGTCTCTGAGATTCAATTCCCGCATCCGTGTGAAGACCTATACAGATGAGCTGACACCCCTTGAGTCCACTGTCTCTGTGTTTAAGGCAGCAAACTGGTACGAAAGGGAGGTGAGTCACTGCGCATGATGGACTGTGCTTCTGAGCCAGAGTTGCAGAATTGGTTGGAACTACTGTGGGCAGCACAGCCCCTTACCCCCGTGTTGGTCATGATGGACTGGTTGCCTGAGGGCCTCTTTTTTCTAGATCTGGGACATGTTTGGAGTCTTCTTTGCTAACCACCCTGACCTAAGAAGGATCCTGACAGACTATGGCTTCGAGGGACATCCTTTCCGGAAAGACTTCCCCCTGTCTGGCTACGTTGAGGTAGGAGCCTTGGAACTGTGGTAGCAGCCTCAGGGGAAGGTCTGGCAGGGAACTCGGGGCATCCTGGGCATGGCAGGAAATGTGGTTTGTGGATTGTAGTGGTTTAAAAGCATTGGCTCTGGATTCAAATCTTTGCTCCACTTTTATAACTTGGGGCAAGTTACTTCATTTTTCTATGACAGTTTTACTCTTCTCTGAATTGGGAACAATAGCACTTAACCAATAAGATTTGCAGTGTTCTAAATGGTATATGTGTAATACCTGGTGTACTATAAATGCTCGGTTGTGTTAGCCATTATTGTAGTGATCATTTGATGATCAGGGCAGCCTTGAGAACACACTGAGTCTGTCTCCAAGATCTGAAAGTGAATGTCATTTTACCCTGGATCTCTGAGAAGGAAGCTGACAGGGAGGACACTGAATATTCAGCCTTTGAGAATGGCCAGAGGCAGGACCAGTAACTTGTGACTATCAGAGCCTTATAAAGAATTTCAGTGCTATAAAAAAAAAAATAAATAAAAAAAAATAAAAAATTCAGTGCTTTGCTTTACCATCCATTTGCTGCAGGTTGTTTGTCAGCAGGGAGGTAATCTAGTGTGTACATTAACACAGGTGATTTTGTAGCAAAGTAACTTTTTAGAAATACCAAGATAGTGGCAATCCAGCCCTTCTCTGTAGTGCTCAAATGCTCTTGTTTTCTTAGTATTTTGCATGGTACCCCTTTCTTCTCAAGCTACTTCTGATCAGGGTTACTTTCCTCTCTTCCCTTTCATCCCTACTGTCCCCCTAATTTGGATTGCCTCTTAATCCTAGCACTTGTTTTTATCTTGTCCAGCTGATCCTCCTATAACAAGAAAACCCATGCCAGATTTATTGCCTCACATCTTGACACCGATAATGCCAAGGCCCCAGGGCCTGAACTTGAGTGCCTGCCAGTCTAGGTGTACTTTTTTCAGCCACTGACTTGCTCCCTAATCCCAAGATAGGCAAATGCTTATCTTATAAAATGTGTGGATTGGTGAGCAAAATCAGTTCAGCTGGAAAAGAGCTCATAATGGGATGGTGGGAAGGTGAGCCTGACCAGGTGATGGTAGGGCATGAGATAGAGGACATTTTGGACTATGGTTGATAAATAACAGATGTGGATGGAGACTTGAAACAGCTGGGACAGGAATCAAGAATAGAGAAGTAAAGGGGCTGGAGAAATCACCCCTAGTATAGGAAGGTGGGCTGCTTGCTGTAACAAGGTCTTCCTCCGTGCACAAACCTGCCTTTTCCTTCTGCAGTTACGCTATGATGATGAAGTGAAGCGTGTGGTGGCTGAACCGATAGAATTGGCCCAAGAGTTCCGCAAGTTTGACCTGAATAGCCCATGGGAGGCTTTCCCTGCCTACCGCCAGCCCCCTGAGAGTCTCAAGCTGGAAGCCGGAGACAAGAAACCCGAAACCAAGTAGCTCCAGGGAAGGCATCTGGATCCTAGAAAGCGCCTTATCTATAATTGAGTGTCTGTGTAAATAAAATCCTACTTAGACTCATCACTTCCTGTGTGTGCTTATCATCAAGAAGTTTTTACTCTGGCCAAAACCAGTTTGGCTCAGCAGTAGGGCGCCGGTCTGCGGACTGAAGGGTCCCAGGTTCGATTCCAATCAAGGGTGTGTACGTTGGTTGCGGGCACATCTCCAGTAGGGGGTGTGCAAGAGGCAGCTGGTCGATGTTTCTCTCTCATCGACGTTTCTAGCTCTCTATCTCCCTTTCTCTCTGTAAAAAATCAGTAAAATATATTAAAAAAAGAAAAAGAAAAAAGTTTTTACTCTGGAGAGGTGAGATGGCAGGCAGGAGTTATCCCTGCTAATTACCAAACTGGGAGTCTATTTTAATGGGACTAATCAATGCAGTTACAGATGTGGTGACCTGCAGGCCTGGATGTATTTCTTTTTTTTTCTTTTTTCTTTTTTTAAATAAATCTTTATTGTTCAGATTATTACAAATGTGATCCTCTTCCCCCCCTCAATTGCTCCCCTTCACCAGGTTCCCACCTATTTCTGAGGGTGAAATTCAAAGTTTACATAGCACACAGGGCTCAGGGTGGGTGTGGCATGGCCTCTAGCAGGGTCTCAACAACTGCTGGAGAAAGCCCCAGGTCTGGCAGTAGCTTATGTGTTCAGGGGGTTGGGTGGAACAAGGAAACCACTACCCACCCTCATTCCATAAAAATATCCACAGAGTTCCATGAGCCAACAGGAAGAGCTGCAGCCCATTTTTGAATCTTGAACTCTGCAATCTGACAGCCCATCACGCTTGATATAAGGCACATGTGTCAAACACAAGGCCCGCGGGCCAAATCCGTCCCGCCAGGCCTTGCAATGTGGCCCGCACCGCGCTGTCATCACTGCACTCCGCTGCATTTCCATCACAATGACAGTTTATGACTGTTCAGTAAACCATTCGGCCCGCGATTTAGGCTGGATTTTAGATTTTGGCCCCTTCTCTGATTGAGTTCGACACCCCTACTCTAAGGGAATCTTCCTAGACTCTGGCCTGAGCCAAGAATGTTGTCAACAAGCAACGGAGGACCCAAGGCTGAGGCCAATGACATTCAGGAGCTGCAGAGCTTCAGGGGGATAGACTCCCCACCCCAGCTGGTCTGGACTGTGTTCGGCCAGTTTGGCTGAGTGCCTGAGGTGGAAGTGCTTGGCTTTGCCTGTCCATGGCGCTGTCCGGTCAGTCTGTCCTGCATTTGTAGGACTGGGCTTTGCAGCTGATGTTCTTGGCTGTTGAGGGGCTCCCTGGAGGCTGGGCTAGGGACGAGGCGTCAGGAGTGGGGCTCAGCTGCAGGATGTTTTGGGTATGAGGACATAAATAGAAAGATAGTGTTACTGCCTGGGCTCTTCCCTACCTTTTAGGAGGACCAAGCTCAAGCTGTTTGCTACCAAACACCTTTTTTCTATTAACTAAGAACCCAGCCCATCTGGGCAGCAACAGCCTCCTGCCAACAAGGATTTCACATTTCTACGGATGGAAAGATCCCTGGGATGCCAGAGCCAGCTCCTCCCTGTTTTGCTTTGAACTGACACGCAAAGCAGGGAACACTTGAGCAGCCTGCAGTGGAAAGCTGGAGCCATGGTGTGTGGCAGGCGGATGCAGGAGCAGAGAGCACCCAGGGAGAGCAGAACTCGGAGGACGCGGTGGGGCATGGCGGGGAAAATTAAGCTCCTGGCTTGGCTAATAGCCATTTGCCTCCTCCCTGGGTTGACTACAACCCAGCACCATGAAGGTACCAGGGCTTCAGGGTGGGGTGGATGGGAACCAAGGAAGGCTGCTGGCTAACAGCAGTTCTAGTTGGCTCTGTCTGAGCCTAGCAGGGCCTAGGAACTGTGGGCTGACCTGTGCTGCAGAGATTAATGGTGTGGGCCCCTCCCTTAGAACAGAAAAGGTCCAGGTGAAGCGAAGGGAGATAAACGTAGGTGCTGACCCCGGACAGAGTTGGGCCTGGGCTTATTCTGGTTGATGCCTGGAGCAGTTTCCCTTGCTCTGCCCTGGGCCTGGAGCAATCATTTTAAGGGATGGGTGCACCCTGGGGTGGGATGAAGGAAGCTGGGACAGACATCCTGCCTTGCCTGGCCCCCCTGCCTTGCATACCATCATCGAGGAGTAAGGTAGGAGCAGGTTCTTCCCCAAAGGGGTCCTCAATCTTTGGGGAAGGTCACTGGTACTGTTTTAGGTTTCGCTGTCACCAGATGATAGGGAGGGAGGGAAAGTGGGAAGTAAAGTGTCTTGTGACCCGTTACCCTGGAGCTCTTGGCAAAGGGAACTGTGAAGTTCAAGGAGGAGTTCTGGACATTTGCCGAAGTGGTATCTGGGTTTGGGATGATGATCTTGGAAAAAGACCTATGCATCTTGGTTGGCAAATGTCAATGTGCATATGTGTGTAGGGAGTGGGGAGGGGATGGAATGGCATTCCTACTCTTGCAGCTAAAACCTCTAGACACTCTTACAGGCAGCGAAGGGGCACTTCTGGGAAGCTGTTGTTTAGGATGGAGCTTGGCAGGGGCCTGACTTCTCTCTGCTGCCCCAGGGCAGCGCATGGACAACACCAGTGTGGCAGGCGACCTGCAGGAGCCAGAGGCCCCGGAAGTGATGTTTGAGGTCTTTCCTCCAGTTTGGGACATGGGGATTGGGGGGCGGGGGTGGCAGTGTCCAGAGGTTCCTCAACTCAAGCTGGGAAGGGGGAATGTCTCAAGCTGGGCCTATTGGAGGTGGGGGGCAACCCAGCATGGGACCTACTGCCTGCTTATGCCCCCCTGGCCCACTCTAGCTCCCTACCCTGCCCCCCGAGCTCAGCCCCCTCCTTACACAGCTCCCCTTGCAGCTGCTCTGGGCCAGGCTGGAGCTGGATGTCATGGGGCAGCTGCACATCCAGGATGAGGAGCTGGCGTCCACCCGTCCAGGCCACCGACTCGGGCTCCTCCTGCAGCACCACGTGCCCAGTGACCTGGAGGGCGCTGAGCAGCGGCTGCAGCAGTTCCAGGACCGGCGGAAGGGGCCTCCTCTTAGCCCTTGGGATTTTCAACATCTGCTCCTCACCGGCCTGTCCTGTGTCTACCGGCTCCACAAGGCTCTGGAGGATGAGGAGAGGGGTCGCTGGGCCCAGGTCTTTGCCCTCCTGGCACAGGAAACACTCTGGGACCTGTGCAAAGGCTTCTGCCCCGAGGGCAAGCCTCCTTCCTTGGAGCCCTGGTCCTCAATCCTGGACCCTTTCCCCTGACCCTCCCCTTTCACCTATCAGCCCCCTCTTCCCCCCCCCCCCCCAAGCCAGACTCATCCTGGGCAGGGGCTTCCATATGGCACCTGGTTCTCCCCAGGTGATCAGGTCTTTGTGCTTAGAGCAGCACCCTGGACCCATGTTTACCTCTTCCCCATCTTCTTCCCTGGCCCTGACAGGCAAAGAGCCCAGCCTCTGGGTCCCAGGCAGCAGGTGCAATACTAAAGCAGGACTTCCAGGCAGTGTGTGTGTGTGTGTGTGTGTTGGGGTCAGTACTGAGAAGTGTATTTTAAAAGATGCTGAAAGGGAAGCTACCCCTAAGTCAGGGGGTGAGAGCCTCCAGCCCCACCCTGGCAGTCCATGAGGCCCTGGGACTCTAAGGGAGCCTTCTGCACACTCCACACCCCAGCCATGTAGGCACCCCTGTAAGCCCAACCACTGCTCTGGGGCCCCTGAACCTCCACCTTCCCCATTGGGTCTGGGAGAACAGCATGGGCGTCTCTGTTTTGTCTGTTGGAAGAGTGAAGGGAAGCGGGTGGGGAGATGCACATTTTTAGAGTAGGAGGGATTTTTGGGGTCCATCTCAGCAAGGCTCGGATGAACACTTCAGAGGAAGAAGAGAGGCTGGGAGGGGATTGCCAGAAACAGGCTGAGGCTGGCTGGTGGAGCCCCTGATCCTGTGTAGCCCCCCCCCCCCCCCCAAATGTTCTGTTCTGGCCTCCTGGGTCCTTCCATGTCAGAGTAAGCTGTCAGAGTAAGCTGTTTCATCCCTGTCCTGAACAAACCGCCCTCCTAATCCTGGGGCAGGAGGGCGGTAGGAGGTGGGGCGCCCAGGTACCCGCTGCTTTCTATCCCCTTCACACATACTCCCACACGTAGCCGGGTGGGGCCCCTTCAACCATCAGTGGACCCCGAGAATGGAAGGTCAACGGGGAGGAGTTGGACAGGACCTGACCGCAAAGGGACATGAGTGGATGGGAGGCCCACCACGGGTTCCATGTGTCGGGTTCGAATTCTCATCTCACCTTCCCCGGAAGCCTGACTAATCTTGCCCTCTGACCCCCGACCCTCACTCCACACCTGCCATAGTCAATCCCTTCCCTCCCCCCCCAACCCCCCAAGAGACAAAACTGCCGCAGTTAAGACAGAGAACTGGACGGACACGGTCGCCGGCGCAGGCCCGCTTTATTGGCGCCCAGCGGCGCTGGGCGGGCCGCCATGCTCGCCGGCGAGGGAGGGGGGCCGCGCGGCCCGGCATGCTCGATGCCCTCGGCGCCGCCCGCGGGCGCTCAGAGCTCCAGGGGCCCGGCGCCGGGCGGGCTGGCGGCGGCGGCGGCGGGGTCGGGGTCGGGGTCGGGGTACACCAGGAAGCCGGAGAAGGTGATGTACTTGCCGTGGTTGCTGTAGGCCCCGTAGCCGTCGTGGTCGTGGCTGAGCAGCCACACGGCGTCGCCGCGGCGCAGCGCCAGCATCACGCTCTGGCTCTGCATCTCGCGGCGCCGCGACGCGCCGTCGTCGTAGATCATGGCCTGCACCTCGTCGCGGTTCTTCATCAGCTTCACCGACAGCGTCTTCCGCGGCAGCTTGCCCAGCGTGAAGGAGAAGAAGTAGGCGCCGGGCAGGCGGCAGCGGAACACGCCGGCCTCCGCGTCGAAGTCGCCGCCGATGTTGACGAGCTCCGTGTCGAAGGCGACGGGCCGGTGGCGCGGGCCCGCGCCCGCGTCCGAGCCCACCAGGCTGCGCGTGCGCGCCGCCGAGAAGGCCGAGCGCGGCTCGGGGCGCGCGGGCGCGCGGCGGGGCGCGGGCGCGGGCGCGTCGGCGTCGGCGTAGACCAGGTAGCCGCTGAAGGTGGCGCCCGGCGCGCCCAGCGCGTACTGCGGGGCGCCGTGCAGCCGCAGCCACACCACGTCGCCGTAGTCGAGCTGCAGCATGGCGCTCTGGCTGGCGGCGCGCCGCGAGCCGGGCCGCCGCTGCTCGTCGAAGGCCAGCGCCTGCACCTCGTCGCGGTTGCGCACCAGCATCACCGACAGGCTCTTGTGCGGGGCCTTGCCCGCCGTGAACGAGAAGAAGTAGGCGCCCGGCACGCGGCAGCGGAACTGGCCCGTGGCGGCGTCGAAGTCGCCCCCGATGTTGACGTGCACCTTGTCGAAGGTCACCGCCATCTCCATCTCCGAAGTGCCCTCCAGCGGAGTGGTGCGGGCCGCCGAGAAGGCCGAGCGCAGCTCCGTGGAGCCGGGCGCCGCCGGGCCCAGTGCCCAGGAGGCTGCCGGGCCCAGCAGGCCCAGCAGGAGCGGCAGCATGGCGCCTGCAAGGGGGGCAGAGGGAGAAGGAGAGGAGGGTTGGGCGGGGGCACCTCCAAATTCCCGGAGCTCTGGACCTGGAGACCGGTTCTCTTCCCAGCCCTGCCCTTGATGCTTAACCAGGACTTGGTTTCCTATGCACTTGGATTAATCAGTGATCTGCAAACTTCAGCAGTCAGTGTCACCTGTGATAGATCCTCCCTTCCTCCAATTGATGGACAGACATAAACCCCACCTGTGGCCAGACATTCCTGAGCTCTGAACCACCAATCAGCACCTGCCAAATACCCTAAGCCCCCATTCCTAAGTCCCCAGGTTCCCTAATCACCAATCAGCGTGCTGAGTGCCCTAAGCCCAGTCCCCTATCCTTAAAGGTGCTTGTACCCCAGCGCCTGCTCTCTTCCATCCCTCTCTCTGGAAGCAGCCAGCAGGGGTACTCTTCCCTCTAATAAAACCTGTGTGTGTCCTGCCATCCTGGTCTCAGGCTACCTTCTCTATTTAATCTATCAACCTGGAGAGCTTGTTCACACATGCATGGCTGGTCCTCATCTCCAGAGTTTGCATTTAGTAGTTCTAATGAGGCCTGAGGATTTTCATTTTCCAACGAATCCCCAGGTAAAGTAGATGCTCCTGGTGCAGGGACCACTCTTTGGGAACCATTCCATCAGGCCAGTGATTCTTCAAACTTTCATTGTTAAAAGCACCGGAACCCCTTTCTCACGTAAAAGCTGTCATACATATAACGCAGATACAAGCAGAATGCTGTTTGTAGGGGCTTCCCTAACCCCTTTCCCTTGGCACCCAGGGTCCTGGGCACACAAGGGGTGGGCAAGGGGTCTCTGAGTTTCTTTCAGCCTCTGGGTTGCTGCATTTTCCTGTGGCTATTCTGTGGTCTTCGGCTTGCCTTTCACACAGGCATTGGTTTGCTGCACTGATGTCCTCCATGATGGCTACTGTTTCAGCCCATCTTGGCAGGAAAGGAAATAGCTACTCCCTGACCCCTTCTCTGGTCTCTGACCCACTCAAGAGTCAGCTTCCATACTGGGCTTCTGGATTCCTCAGGGGCCCTTCTTGCACTAACGAGGCCAGAACCGTTGGGCTTTGAGGCACTTCCCCCGAGTAAGTGAAAGTGACTCCTTCTCTGAGCTTGGGGGCTGGTCCCAGGGAAAGGAGAGAGCCAGGAGCTGCTGGTAACAGGGAGAGCAACAATTCCAGCAGCCTCTGACATGTAGGGTCAGCAGCGTTGTTCTTCAGTGATGGGGTGGAGGGGACCTGGGCCTGGGGCCTGGCTCTACCTCTTACACGCTGTGAAATCTTAGGCAAGTTCCTTAACTTCTCTGGACAGGGCTTCCCCTGTGTAAAGGGGAGGGAACCTTCACAAGCTGACTGAGAATGTCCTGAGATAACAGGTGTGAACACAGTCTGAGCGGCTGTGTCACCCGGGTGTGTAGATGCTTCTGCTCTTGGCCTTGAGAAAAGCAACCTGATCAAGCTCTTGACATAAGGGGTTAGGGACTCAGTAACTCCTATCCTGGGAGCTTGGTGAAGGCTCTGCTTAACTCAAAGGAGCCACTCTCCGACGCGGGGTTCCATCAGCTTCCTAATAGGCATAGGCTTTGGGAATTGAATATGCAAAGGCCTTGAAGCGGAGACAAAGCAGGACAGAAAGTGAGCGGGCAACAGCCTAGTCTGTGGGTTTCGGTAGGCAATATCCTGGGAGCATGTGTAGCTTTATGTCTCTTGACACACGGGGACCTGCTGTGATGGGTTGCCAGGTGCAGCTGTACAGACGTGCTCTACTTAGCAAGGCATTCGCCTTAGGGAAGGTGGGCACTGAAATCTAGCCCACATTACACTTGCCCAAATGTGTGGGGCTGCTGTTCGTGGAGAAAAGTGTGCCTTTTCCTAATCCTCTTAAGAAAGGCCCCGAGTCCCTAGCCCCGCTGAGCACTCTCCCTCCAGAGAAGGTACCTTTCCTAATTCCTACGAAGGACCTATGGGTTAGCCCAGTGGTTGGCAAACTCATTAGTCAGAGCTAAATATCGACAGTACAATGATTGACATTTCTTTTGAGAGCCAACTTTTTTAAACTTAAACTTCTAACTCCACTTCTTCAAAATAGACTCGCCCAGGCCGTGGTGTTTTGTGGAAGAGCCACGTTCAAGGGGCCAAAGAGCCACATGTGGCTCTCGAGCCGCAGTTTGCCAACCACGAGGTTAGCCAATACCCATGATGCGGGAGATGCATCTGCAGGTGGAGTGGTGAAGACTGCACCTCCGTGCATTCCCCTTTGGCAATGTCTGGGCACATGGCACACCTGGCAGACCAGTGGCTCCTCGCCCACTTTACAGATGAGAAAAGCCTCGGTCCAACAAGAGGAGGTGTTTTGGACCAAGATCACGCATGGAGCACTGAGGCAAGCCTTGAAAAGGGGTTTTTTACTCCAAAATCAGTGTGCCCTCCTCCCCACGGCCTTTCCCTCCTAGACACAGCTATTTCCAGACAACCTGTCCTCGGCCCCAGTTTCCCTTTTTGCACAATTAGGAGGGGAGTTGAGTGGAATGAGTCTTGACATCGGGGGGTGAAGAAAGGAAGCCAAACCAAATAAAACCAACCAACCACAACTCTAGCGTTTTGCCTTCTGAGGGTGTGGGAGCATCTGAGCTCTTCCTGGGGGTCTGCTCTGGGACCCTGCCCATCTGACCCCCAGCCGGCTGGTGACCCACCAGCGCCAGAGGGTCCTCCTGTGTGTCCAGTACCCCACCTGCGCTGCCCCGTTCCCAGATGCCTAGGTCCCCGACCGTCCATCCCTAAACCTCCTTCCCTGAGCTGGGCAGAGGTGGGAGGGGCCCGGTGGGCATCACAACTGCAGGGAAGGAAATGGCTGTTCCTAGCTCTGTCCAGGTGGAGCGCAAAACAGTCATCTTTAAAGAGAAAGAACTGGGACACAGATAAGTGGGCAGAGCCGCGGGAACCCATGGGGGAGGTGTCGCGATGCCAGGCTAAGGGGGTCTCAGAGCCCCTCTCCTCGCCCAACCCTCCTCCCAAACCCTGCCTCTCTCAAGACTCCCCTCCCCGCCTACCTGGAAGGCTCCTCGTGCTCCCAGTAAACCCCCTTCACAGAAGCCAATTAATCATTTCTCGTGGATAAAAAAATCCCCCCAAAAGGGGTACCCCAGGCTCCTCCCCTCAATACCTCCCTTCCCTCCCCCCCCCCCCCCCCCCACCCCGCCAGACCCTCCTTTATTCATCTTCTCCGAGAAAAAGCCCTTGAGCATCCCATGGAAAGCTCCACATCCTCCTTTCGGGGAAGGACCGGTTTCCACGCGCCCTCCCCGCCCCCGCTCCCCATCAGGATGAACCTGGCCGCCCTCCTCCCACCCCCAGCCCCGGCCTCGGGCTGCCCTCACCTGCTGCGGACCGAGGTCGGGTCGGGTCGGGTCGGTCCGCTCCGAGCCTCTCGGGCTCCGGCTCCGGGCCGCGCACAGACGCCGGCGCTGCAGCGGGAGGGGCTGCGGGGCGGCGGGGGCTGGGGCTGCGGGGCCGGGGGCCGGGGCGGCGAGGCGCGAGGGGAAGAGGCCGGCGGGAGAGGGAGCAGAGCGGCGGGCGGGGGAGAGGCGGGGAGGGGGAGCAGAGAGCGAGAGGGAGGGGCGCGCCTCGGCGGGAAGAGGAGCGGCGGACCTAGGGGCTCGGCACCGGCGCCGAGGGCCCCCGTGCAGGCTGCGCGCACCCCGGGCCCTTCCCCGCGCGCGGACTCCCTGGGGCTGGCTTCATCCCTCGGGCTCCAGCGTGCAGGCATCGTGAATCCGAGTTAGCAGAAGGGGAAACTGAGGCCTGCGGCAGGGGCCAGACTGGGGGTGGCCCAGGGCACTCTACAGACCCTCCTCCTCCCTGGTTGGAGGTGGGGGTAGGGGGTGGGGTGGGGGACTGGGGCAGGACACAGAGACCAGCTCGGCCTCTGGGCTGCAAGGACAGTGCAAGGTGAGACTTGGGCTGGGACAGATGTCCAGGTTGAGTGGCCTTGGCGGCGGGGGTCTGAGAGAAGAGAAGGTAAGTGGGTCAATGTCGCCCGGAAAGGAAGGGCTTAAATGGACCTAGTTTTTCTTCCTCACCTCCAAACCCGAAAACAAATGCCCACATTGGTTAGGACAGGAGGAGGAAGACCAAGGACCGGGCCATCACAGGGAGGGGGTGAGGACGGAGCGGGCTCCTTGGGGCAGAACCGAATTTTGGCTGGAAAGGCTGCTTTGGTGCCCGAGAGAAGGGAGAGGGGTGAGAGGGACAAGGAAAGGACGTGAAAGGTCCCTCCCTGTGTGCAGAGGGACCCTGCCAGCCTGCCTAGCTGGGGCCAGGGTAGCAGGATGGGGGTGAGGGGCTGAGAACAGCTGTCTTCCCAGGTAACACTCATCAAAGGCCCTTCCCAAGGCCCCACTCTGAGCTTAGACACTCCCCCCCCCTCAAACCCCCGGAGCTCAGGGAGCTGAGCTCTCTTAATCAGAGTTGCTGTACTCTCCTGCTTTACAGGGACTGACTCAGCTGGGGGGAGGGGGGCACTTTTTTTTGTCTTTCTTCTCCTGGAATGTATACCCGAGGGCTGGAGCTCCATTGCCAGCTAGGGCCAGGAGACAATGGCATGTCAGGTAGAAGCTGAGATGAGTAAGACTGGAGACTCTGTGCTAAAGGAGCTAATCATTTAGTAGGAGTGGCTGCATGTGGACACAGAACTATTATAGGTGAAAAAGAGATCATGGCCCAGCCTGTATTGCTCAGTGGTTGAGCATCAACCCATGAACCAAGTGGTCACTGGTTTGATCCCGGGCCAGGCGCATGCCCAAGTATTGGGTTCAATTCCTACCTAGTAAGGGGCTTGTGGGAGGTAGCCAATTGATGTTTCTCTCTCATCAACGTTTATATCTCTCTATCTCTTTCCCTTCCTCTCTCTCTCTAAGAATCAATCAATTTATCTCTCTCTATATAATAAATATGCTAATTAACCAGGATGCCATAACGGGTTGACCTGATAGGAGGAAGCTGCACGTGCAGCATCAGGGGCCTCCATGTGCCTGTGCTGAGGGAGGGCTGGGGGCTTGATCAGAAGTGGTTGAGGCTGCTTCAAGGGCCAGGGAGGGAGGCAGGGCCGGATAGGCGACTCCAGGGTGAGCGGTGCTGCGAACTGCCTATGAACCAGGAAGGAGGTCACAGTTAGACTATAGGTCAGGGCACATGCCCAGTTTGTGTGCTTGATCCACAATAGGGGGTGTGCAGGAGGCAGCTGATCAATGATTCTCTTTCATCATAGATGTTTTTATTCTTTTTTATCATCATAGATGTTTTTATCTCTCTCTCCCTCTCCCTTTCTCAATAAAAATACTTAAAAAAAAATAATGGTGGGGATCTGACCTAGTGAGATGGATGACCCAGTCAAAGGACAGACTAACTCCAAAGGGGTGCAGGCGGCATAGTGGGGGCTTGGGAACAGCATGCTCAGTTCAGAAGGGAGGGTTTTTCCAGGGATGATGTGGAAGGTAAGGTGTGTGTAGCTTAAATGCTGAGAGAAGGAGCTCAGTTTATCCCACACCAGAGGGGAGAGTGCTGAGAGCGTGTTGTAAGAAGACCATTCTGGCTGCAGAGGGAAGGACTGACAGGACAGAAGAGTGGAGAGGAGGGAGATGCGGGAGAAAGTACTCACTGTTCAGATGGATCCGAACTGCGCAGGGCTGGTAAGATAGGCAAAGGGAAGAGACAGATGGGGGAGAGACTAAGAAGAGAGATGCAGAGATTGACAGGGTGCCGTGCAAACTCACACATTTAAAAAAATATATTTTTATTGATTTCAGAGAGGAAGGGAGGATAGCGAGATAGAAACGTCAATAATGAGAGAGAATTATTGATTGGCTTCCTTCTGCATGCCCCCTACTGGGGATCGTGCCCATAACCTAGGCATATTGGCATGTGCCCTTGCTCGGAATCAAACCTGGGATTCTTCAGTCTGCAGGGTGATGCTCTGTCCACTGCGCCAAAACAGCTAGGGCACAAACTCACAATTTAATTAGCTTCCTGGTTTGCCAGGGGATTACAGGGGAATTAACAGACCTCAGTGGCCAGGGACCGTGCAGGGAGGTGAAGGGAAGTTAATGAGAGAGAGGACAACACGCCCCAAGGGAGAAATGACAGCAGAGAAGTAGTTAGCCAAGCAAAGATGCCAGCAGGAGAAACAGATGTCAGGGCGCTGAGTCTCTGCCTTCCTTGGAGATTTCAGACCTCCAGGGGAGAAAATGGTCAGAGCTCCCAGGTCAGCTGCTGGCCTGAGTACTGGGAGGGGAAAGCTGGGAGTGGCTTCCAGGATCAAGGTCCAAACTCGCCCTTGGCCTTTTCCCAGAAGAGAACAGAACATTCTCCCCCACCCCCACCCCCACCCTTCCGCAGATGGCGAAGCTGAGGCCAGGGATGGGAAGTGACCTGCTCATGACCAGATGTGGCAAACTGCATTTTGCAAGGACAGCTGGGACCAGTCTCTCTCCCCACTTCATACACTGTGACCTTGCTACTCCCTGCTAGGAGGATTTAGGTTCAGTCATAAAAGATGATACTGCGCCTCTTTCTGGAAACTCCCACTCGTAACCCAGCCACCGTGGCTTGAGAAAGCCCAGGCCACCTGGAAATTGTAGGTGCTGTGGCCAACAGCCTCAGTCAGGACCAGCTAGTTAACTGGCAAGATCCAGGGCAGAATGGAAATGCAGGCCTCTTATTCAAAAATTAAGAATTTAAGTGGTGACAACAGGGCATTAAACCTAAGTGTGGGGCCTGGTGCACAAGTGACACCCAAGAACTGTCCCTGACCCCAGCTGTGGTTCCAGCATCAATTGCTCACAATACGGGTGAGGAAGCCTTCAAGATGGCTTGGGGCACAGCCACTGTCTGATTGCAGCTGTACAAGGGACCATGAAGAGGAATCACATAGCTGAACCCAGTGCCTCCAGACTCGTACTGAGAAAAATCAACTGATGATTTGTAAAACATTTCTGAGTGAGGAAGAACTTTGAACCATAGCATATATTCCAGAAGTAAAAAAAAAAAAAAAAAAAAAAAAAAAAAAGATGAATATGTATTTTATTATACAGCTTAAAAGGAAAATAGCCCCCTGACAGTGTGGTTCAATTGGCTGGGTGTCAGCCCATGCACTGAAAGTTTTCTGGTTCAATTCCAGGTCAGGGCACATACCCAAGTTGTGGGCTGGATCCCTGTAGGGAGTGTGCAGGCAGCCAATTGATGTTTCACTCTCACACTGATGTGTCTCTCTTTTCCTCTCTAAAAAATTAAAAAAAAAAAAAAAAAGGAAAACATGGCAGAAGCAAAATAAAAAGACAAACTACAAACTGGAAAACGTATTTGTAACTCACATTACAAAATTTCTTTAATATGCAAAGAGCTCTAAGAAAAAGACCATTTAGTAGAAAAATGGGTTAAGGATATAAACAATAAAAAGGTATTAGAATAAGAAAATTACAGTAAGATGCCATTATTTTTTTTTTTTACCCCTCAGGTTGTCAAAGGGCAATAAAATGTGTAACACAATCTGTTGGTAATGAGGTGGAAAAACTGACATTCATACATTGTTAGTGGTCACAACTGGACAATATCTACCAAAATTAAAGTGTGTATACCCTTTTACTCAGTGATTCCACTTCTCAGACAGCACTTCTTTAGATACATGCCAACACATTTGAAATAAGTTATTTTTATTCACTGAAGCATTGGTTATAATAGCAGAACACTGGAAATGATCTAAAATGATCTATAGGCCCAGCAACTGAGGGCCCATTAAATTCTGGCATATATATATATATATATATATATATATATATATACACACAGAATACTGTACATCCTTTACAAAAGAATGAGGAATTATTTTGAATAATGATATGAAATAATCTCTAAGATTTACTGATCAGTGAAAAACAAGATGTACAGCAGGCTGCCCTTTATGTAAAAATAGAAAAAGAAGGCCTGCACTTGCTTTTATGTGCTTAGAATACATCTCAGAGGATCTACTAGAAACTGTGAACAGCAGGTGCCTCCTGGGGAGAGGAATGGTTATGGGGGAGAGACACTTTTCACTGTTTCACCCTTTGTACCTAAAATAAAAATGGGTGGGGAGAACCACTATCTTTTGAAGCAGCTGCTCCACTCCTATTGGCTTTTATTCAACCTGAGGCCGGCTGAAAGCCCTCAGCCTTTTCCCGTATTCACCGCTGTCAAGCCAAACTTCCTTCCTCCTATGCTTACGCAGCTGGTTAAAAAGAAAAACCTAAATGCAGGTCTTTGCACTTTTTTGGGGGGAACCACGGGAAGCTCAAGAAATGACCAAAGCAGGCCATTTTTATTCTTTTCAAAGAAACAATGAATTTGTGAGAAATTGACAAAAGAAACTAGGTTTTTGTGCTTAATTAGTGAAGAATCTAAGCAGAATTTGAGCTTAGGGTAGCCAACTGTTAAAGAAGTAACAAAGTGCCAAGACTGGTTTGGCTCAATGAATAGAGCATTCG